ATCCATTACATACATGTATACACCAAAACTGTTACGGCTGATAGCCGTTAGCTACTATCCATTAGCTACTAGCTATTAGCTTTTAGCTCGTAGAATTTTACATTTGAATGGGGTATGAGTGAATTGACTGAATGACACCTAATAAGAGCAGTCCAAATTATTATTCCTACATGTTAATGACAGATGTGTATCTTGTTCTTTTCTTTTCACTATATCTGTAAAGCGTCTTTGAGCCCCTGTAAAAGCGCTAACAAAATAAATCTATTATTATTATTATTATTATGCACAGCCCTTCAAATATAGTGTTACTTTTATTTGTCAAATATAATCATACTTTACCTTTACTTGGGACATTTACATTGTTACAGCAAAAGTAAATAGCAACACTTTAATTAAGAGGCATGCATTCATTTTAAGATACAAATAAATAAATGACAATTTATGAAACTACACATCCAGGTGGAACACATAAGATAGTGTAAAAGATACCGTGGCTAATTCTAAATATTGTTTCTCTTCTTTCCACACAGGTCTTCCAAAGTTCCCATTTGTATACCCCTGTGATCTGCCATTCACTCACCCACCCAAAGGCACTTTGAAGAGCCACATTTATTTTGTCAGACCGTCCCTTTCAGTGTGCCTTGTCCTTACCTGTGTTGCTGTCAGTGTATCTCTCTCCGTCCCTCTCTCTCATTCTCCCTCTCTCGTTTTTCCCCTATCTGTGCTTACCCCTGTTTTTGTCTTCTCTGTCTGTGTGAGTGTTTCTGTCTGTCTGTTTGTCTTTCTGGCCATCAGTGATTCAGAGTGAACAAGAAGAAGAACTCAATAATGAGCTCCAAAGTCTTGATCACTTGATCAAGAAAGAAAGATTTCGAAGCTGGAGGCAGTGAAGACACCTGAACCAATCGTCAAATGGAAAAAGAGAGACGTCGATGATAACCAAATCTTTGAGAGACCAAAAGCAAGCAGGAATCTGCCAAATCAGGGTGAGTATTTAATGTTCACTATATGTTGAAGAAATATAATGTTTACTATCTAATGAGTATTACAACAACAGCATTACATTAATTGATGTATGGGGAAAACAATCAAACCAAAACCAACGGCAAACATTTTTACATTTGAAAGGTAATCTGACCAGATTATTTGACTACATCTCATTCTATCTAATGAAGACATTGACATAGTATTTATGGTAAAGGTTTTTTGTTTTGTACAGCTGGGAGGAAAGCTCCTCGTGTTGATGCTCCTGACACTGACTGTGAGATGGTCTTTGCTCCAGATACACAAAAGCGTGGAATCAAATGCACGATGCAGAGTTTACAAAGTATCAAAAATAAAGTGTTTTAATGTAAACAGGTTGTAGTGGCTATTTGTCAACAACAACAAAGTTTCAAAAGGCCACTGAGGCACCAGGCACAGTGGACCTTACGCAGATCAGGAGCCGGTAATTAATCCATTGTCCAGACAAGGCATCAACGTTTTTGTTGTATTTATTAGCTTCACCTTGCGGGAACAATTCAGCAAAAGGTGTTGAAATGTTTGCTGAATTGGGAGAAAACCTTCCCGGTGC